TGAAAACTGCAATGCATTTCTCCTTTCCTAACCATATTTATCTGCAACTTCATGCTCTTGCAAGTGGGAAGAAGTGAACCCTCTAGGAAGTCTTATGACTTCAGAAACCCCTACATTCCTCTTATCTGTGTTCTGGAAGGGCTTCTTCTGAGGCAGAGGTGGGTGTCTTCTAATCACACATGTTCTGGATGGGGTGGCGCTGAATGGCACATTACAGAGGACAGACTCTGACTTCCATTCAGAGTCTTGGGCAGCAGGGTGCAGAACCTTAGAGGTCATATTTGCTTTACTCCTTGTTGAATGGGATTGGAGGAACTGGACTCAGAACAAGAGAAGGACTTGTGCAGGGCCAACTCAGAAATACGGGAAAGGGCTCAAGTTAGAACTGGGTTTTCTGACCATCTTTTCCTTTCTGTGAAGTTATTCAGTTATTCCTCTTCCCTTTTGTCAGCCCCCTGTTGCATATTAAATTAACTTGTACTATTAATGCTGATTAGGAATATGTTATTTATATTGTTAAGAAATGACCACATACTTGTTCCTGTTCGTTCATTTGCTCACAGATATTTATGGAGTGCCTTCCATTTGCTAGTTATGGGAATGTGATGTTATGTGAAAAATGATAAGCTTGCTTAGCTATTGTAAAGAAAATCTCACCAGGAAAGACAAAGCTGGAACTCTGTAATCTCAGAAATTAAGAGATCTAAGGTGGTAAGGGGTTAGAATGGTAGAAGTGGAGTCATCCATCTGGGGAAGTAGTAGGCAGTTCTGTTCATTTGTTGCTCAGAGCTAAAATTTCAGTCATCCTTGCTGCCCCATTTTCTTATGTCCTAAGTCTTATCCATCCGCAAATCTCATGACTCTATGTATGAAATATGTTCAGAGTCTACCTGCTTCTCACCACCTCTCCTGCTGTTCTGTTTTGCCTAAACACCCTGGATCTCTTGCCTGTTTATGAGAATACGGTCTCACTGCTTGTACCCTCGCCTCTCACACCTGTTCAAATAAACTTGGACAAGCCAGGGAGAAACAGTTCCTTAAGCCTCACACTGCAGAGCTTCTGTGAGGCTTTTATACAATAATTCACACAACGATTCTCCAGCAAAGGGCACAGCATGTAGTTGATGGCAGGCATATTTGACCACAGAATTTTTTTTAATCACAGTGCGTCTTATACTACCGATGTGCTATTGAACATACTCTGGGACCCATACAGTTCTGTCACAACATGGGAAGGATTATTATTGTATCACGGGATGCTGTGGTAGGAAATGGAGCCACTAAAAACAGGTTCACTGAACTGGGAGTTAAGATTTACTGAATTCTAGTCACAGTTATCTTCTTCTGGAATCTCACACGGGACAAGTCACTTTATTTGTCTTCTCATGATTTCTTTGTATGTGAAATGTAGATAACAATTCCTGTTCTGTCTACTTTCTCAGTATATAAATCAATGAGACAAAATATGTTAAAAATAAAGCACCCCACTCCCCCACTAAATTAAACCCAAACAAAACCTAACACACTACTCTAATACTGTGGGCTTGTGGAAAGATGTTTCTGGTTACACTATGTCTGCATTATTGATGGACAGTAAATCAACACTTGGTTTATGTATTAGAACAACTGGGAGTAAAACCCAGGAAGCTGATTTCTGTTGGCTAGAAACCAAATAAAACAAAGAATTGATTGGGGCCGAGGGTTTAGAGAGTGTTGGTCTGTGGCCAGTATGAAGGTAGACAAGAAAGTTACCTGAGCAGCAGTGCAGGAAGACTCAGAAGAGCAGGGACTGTGTGAAGAAAGAAAGGGAAGAGGGCCTGAAGAGACTCATGGGGGAGAGGCTGCAGCAAACACTGAGACACGCTGAGAGAGGATCGATCACCACCCTGGCTGGCAGTGCCGACAGTGCTTCACACATATCCCAAAGGGCAGTGACTGTGCCACCCAGAGAGCTCTGGGGCCCAGTGTGTGACTCCAAGCTGGCAAAGCTCTGTGGGTCACCAGGTCAGGAAGAAGCAATTGTGCTGATGAGATGGAGATTTCCTTTTCTAACGAAAACTTTGCTCGGTCCTCTTTTTTCATGGCTTTTGTCTGTGACTGATTAGGTAACCCTGTGCTCAGGACTCTGATGCCCTAAACTAATTCATACTCAACAAATACATCTTCATGTACTGGTGGGCCAGGCGTCTGGTGGGAATAGTGAGGATGATGATGGCTCATAGCAACAGTACTGACAATGATAATGGAAATCACAGCTTCCGCCTGACAGCTTACAGAGCACCCTCATCTAGCCCTCACGCTGTGGCTTGAGCTTAGTGTTGAAAGCCATATTGAATTAAAAAGGGAATGATGGTCCCACAGATTACTGCAGGTCACATGATTTTCAGTCCCACCATCCTTCTATCCTTGTTTCATATGAGGGTGTGTTTCTGGTCACCATTCAAAGAGGGGCAAAGAACATTTTTGGATATCCACGCCCAAGCTGGGAAAGTCTTTTTTTTTTTTAATTTTTTTTCAGATTTAATTGAGTTTATTGGTACATTTTAGGGATACAGTACAGTTACATTCATTGTTGGGATCTTGTACCTCTACATGACAAGTCTTTATTCTCATTTTTTCCCCTTACCTCTGCCCTCCCTTCACCCCCTCCTCCCCTCCCCATCTACAAACACTTTATTTTCATCTTTTCATTCTCTCACGTTTTTTTCTTTTCCCTTTTTACTCTTCCCCTACCCATCCCACCTTCCCTACACTTTTAGCTCCTTTCTTCCCATTTCTAAATGTCAGTAATCTTATTATAATCTTATGCATTGTTGTAGTTCATTTGCACCAGGGAAACTATTCGGTATTTATACATGTGTGACTTATTTATTTCACTTAGGAGTACATCTTCAATATGTATCCATTTTCCTATGAATGAATCTATTTTCTTTTTCTTTATGGCTGAGTAATATTCCATTTTATAGAAAAACCACAACTTCTTTATCCAGTTTCCAACGGATGGGCAAATAGGTTGTTTCCAAGATTTAGCAATTACAAACTGTGCCGCTATAAACATGGGTGCACATACTTCTCTGTGATATGATTCTTTTAGTTCTCTTGGAAAGATACCCAGCAGAGGGATGGCTGAGTCAAATGGAACCTCCAGTCCAGGCTCTTTGAGGTATCTCCACATTGATTTCCATAGTGGTTGCACCAGTCTGCACTCCCACCAACAATGGAGGAGGGTTCCTTTCTCCCCACAACCCCGCCAACATTTGTTATTGTGTGATTTCTTGATAGCAGCCATTCTTTGTGGGGTGAGGTGGAATCTCAGTGTTGTTTTCATCTGCATCTCTCGAATGACCAGTGATGTGGAATATTTTTTCATAAATTTTCTTGCTGCTTTTACTTCTTTATATGAGAAATGTCTGTTCATTTTGGATGCCCAATTTTTGAATCGGGTCTTTATATTTGGGGGGACTGATTGTTTTGAGTTCTTTATATATCCTTGATAATAGTCCTTTGTCTGAGGTACAGCTGGCAAAAATTTTTTCCCACATTGTAGATTGTCTCTTAGTTCTGCTGATGGTTTCTTTTGAAGTACAGAAGCTTTTTAGTAAGATGAGATCCCAGTTGTTGATTCTATCTGCTAGTTCCCGTGCTACTGAGGATTGTTCATAAAATCTGTTCCTATACCAATGTCTTCCAGAGTTCTGCCTAACTTACCTTCCAGCAAGTTTAATGTTTCTGTTTTAATATTCAGATCTTTAATCCATTTGGATTTTAATTTAGTGCATGGCGAAAGATAAGGGTCTAATTTTAATCTGTGGCAGGTTGACATCCAGTTTTTCCAACACCATTTATTAAAGAGGCTATCTTTCCTCCACTGAGGATGGTCAGCTCCTTTGTCAAAGATGAGGTAGCTGAGTACATCTGCATTTGTTTTTGTGTCTCCCAGTCTGTTCCACTGATCCTCAGGCCTATTTCTTTGCCAGTACCATGCTGTTTTTATCACAATGGCTTTGTAGTATAGTTTCAAATTCAACACCCATTCATGATAAAAACCCTGCAAAAAATTGGAATAGATGGTCTATACCTCAATTTAATAAAGGCTATCTATGAAAAGCCATCAGCCAACATCATATTGAATGGCCAAAAACTGAAAACCTTCATGTTAAAATCAGGAACAAGACAAGGATGCCCACTATCACGACTTCTCTTCAATATAGTTCTGGAAGCATTAGCCACAGCAATTAGACAAGAGAAAGAAATTAAAGCAATAAAGATAGGAAAGGAAGAAGTTAAACTGTCATTATTTGCTGATGATATGATACTCTACATTGAAGATCCAAAAAACTTCACCCTAAAACTTCTAGACTTAATTGACAGATTCAGTAGAGTATCTGGATACAAGGTGAATACCCAAAAGCCAATAGCCTTTCTATACACAAATAACAGACAGACAGAAAGAGAAATAAGGGAAAAAATTCCTTTTACAATAGCATCCAAAAAAATGAAGTATCTAGGAATCAATCTAACAAAAGAAACAAAAGATCTCTACACTGAAAACTACAGCACTCTGAAAAAAGAAATTGAAGAGGATATTAAAAAATGGAAAGATATCCCCTGCTCCTGGGTAGGAAGAATCAACATAGTGAAAATAGCCATACTACCAAAACTGCTATATACATTCAATGCAATGCCAATTGAAATTCCAACACTATATTTCACAGAACTAGAAAAAAAAATCCAAAAATTCATTTGGAACCATAAGAGACCTAGAATAGCAAAAGCCATTTTAGGCAACAGACACATGGCACCAGGTGTAACAATTCCCAATTTTTTTTTTTTAATTTTGTGGTGCTTGGAATTAAATGCAGGACTTTTTTAGTGCACTATATTTTTATTTTACTTCTTTATTTTTTTTACATTTTAAGAAGGGGTCTTGCTTAATCAATAATTTGCCCAGACTGCACTCACACTTGAAACCCTCTTGCTTTGGACTTGCAGATTGCCAGGATTACAGTGTGCACTGCCACACCCTGCTCTGGAGCCTCGGGGGACTCTCTCAGGCTGAAACCAGTGCCCCTGGAGAAGAAGTTCTATGTTTTGGGAGCATTTATGAATCAACACCATCCGAACTGACAGTGAAAGCTAAGTTGTCACTGAAGCTCTCAGTGTGTTTCCATCAGAGGCAGAGTATAGTCCCTGAGAACCACCCAGTTTCCCGCCTCCTTTTTGGCACTTACAAGCTGTATGACCCGTGTCTGTGGCTCAATCCCCCCCCCCATAAAGTGGATTTATAAGATCACCCACCCCGCTGGCACAAGTGCTGTGACACGACGTTCAGTGGATTTGTGAGGTACCCTGAGCCACACTGTCAGGTACACTCAGCCTTCACACATCCTTGTTTTGGTCCTGCCTCGTTATGCTCGCTTTCCTGGAACTCATCGTTCTGGGTGGTAATTACTTGTCCCTGCAAGACTGAGAGGTCCTGAAGGGCAGGGAGTACGTCTTATTCCCTGCTGTGTCTCGAGCTCCTTGGCAGAGAAAATTCTAAAGAACTATTGAGGATTGAATGAGTGAGATCAGAAATACAAAAACGGCTCATATAGGGAGCTGATTTAAGAGAATTACACAAATCGTTTCCCAGCACTTGTTTCCTGGTAATGGGAAGAATCAGTTTCTTCTGATGTAGTGAAAGGGCACATGGGTGGGTTGGAACTTCTTGAAATTTTGTTCTTGCACTGGTGCACGCACCGGTGTAGCTTAGACTTATGTCATAGAGCCAGTGCTCATTAGACAGGTGTGTTGCTGGCAGTTATTTGCGTCCCCTAGAATGTTCCCTGGCTGAGTTCTGACACACAAGGACAGGACAGGGACCATGTTTTGTTCTCTGGTACATCTTTGGCACATGAGAACTTGTCATCCCCTCAAATAAGCAACAAGTCAACATTTGTTGAATGAATGAATGAATAAATGTCTACTAAGTGTTCATTCATTTTTATTATTAGCATAACAAAATAAGTTATCATTCAAGAAAGTTTAAAGGAACTTTATTTACAAAAGGTTTGAATCCAAAGCATCTTTTCCATCCTACTCTTGGACCTTCAGATTAAGCCATTCCAGTCCCCATAGAATGAAAAGGTTTCTGTTCGCAGAAAGCCATTTACCAGGGTCACTAAGCAAACAGGAGAAATGGAACAAAATGATACAATCTGTGGTGCTTCCCCTGTGGGATTTTCTGAGTTCTTTTGGGGCACGACCACTGGCTGATTAAATTGACTTCTTGGTTGAAGAAGAGGAAGAAAAATGCATTTCCATTATCCAGGACTTCCTGTGAGTTGTGGGACTCTATCCAGCCTTCACCAAGCTTCCTCCCTTGGAATGGCTGTAGTTGGAAACACAGGTGAGGAGCATACTCTGGGATCACAGGTGGGTTGAGGCTGGGAAATATTGAGTGGAGTGCCCTGGTCTTTCTCAGAAATGAAGTTCATCATGATGCTAATCCAGTGTCAGCACATTCAATGGACAAGAGCCCTGGCTGGGCTCAGGTTATCAGTGGTCCCACCTTCATCTCCTGGAGCAGTGAAGGACACAAATACTTAGGTCACGACTGGGGCTCTCAGAATTAGGAGGACCACAGTTCACAAAACAGGATGACAGTTCATTTACTTTGAACATAACTGCTCCTGTTAGACAGATAAGGATACTGAGCCATAGGGAAGATATTGACCTTGCTTGAAATTACCCAGCCAGAAATCGGCAGAGTCTAGGTCCAAAGTTTGAGCCTTTGAATTCCAAGTTCATGCCTTATAGCAAAAATCTAAGCACTCTCAACTTTGCTCAGCCATTTGACCCATTGTCATGATCTGATTTCTGATTTGCTCTGAAGCTCGCCTTAATCACTAAGAAGTTCAGGGACACAGACACTTTCAGTAATAACAGTAGATGTTTTTTCTAGGACTTGGACATGTAACTTCCTGAGGGGATGCAGGACGGGGTCTCAGAGGCTTGCAGCCTCCCAGAATCCTTGCTCAGTGCCCTCAGGCTCTGGACGTGAGACCTCCCCATCCTCTGCTGTAGCCTTGGAGGTACACATCATTGTCATCCTCACTTAATGGTGAGGAAATGGAGGCTCAGAGACCAACCTGCCCCAGGCTGTACACCTGGAATTAGAAGGGCCGAGCATCAGCCTGAGGCCGCTGGACCGTTAGTCTTGGTCATGCAGGTGCTGGTTTGGTAATAATAGACTACACAGTGGTTCTCAAAGTGGCTCCAGAACCAGCCACATTGGTGTCCACTGGCAACTTGTTGGAGATGCAAATTCTGGGCCCCACCCCAGGCATACTGAGTCAGAAACCCAAAGCGGGGCCCAACACTTTGGGTTTTTAGCAGGTTTCCATGGGGCGTGAGGAATGCTCTGAACCGTGCTACATCTTTATACTCTACGGCAGCAGTGCAGGTGAGCCCTCTAGAGCTTTCAGTGATACAAACAGCCTACCATGACATGTGTCCCATAGGTTCACCACCACTGCTTGGGGAGGAAGGACACACACAGCTCTGTGGATGCTGGTGTCCCTAGCATCTGGGGAAGATGTTTTCCCAGGAGATGCTGCTGTTTTATTCTTGAGCATCCCACCTGACAGAACAGAGGGAGAGCAGATTCTTTTCAGAAAGAAAAGGAGGGAGTAGGGACAGTGACATTACAAGTCCCCTTCTGAGGAAAAATGTGTTGGTTAGACCCATGCCCTTAGTCTACCAAGACTCTTGGAGGTCAAGTAACTCAGCCAAGTGATGGACTCAAACCCCATCCTCTGACTCCCTATGGAGGATGTTAAGGCTAAACCCCGCACCCTGGAGAAGGTTGACTCGTAAAGGCTGCAGAGAGCCTCTGCACTGTGAGAGGTTCTCCTTGATAGCTTTCACAGATTCTCCTGGTGAGATGACATAGCATCAGGGGAAGAATACCAGTGCGATGGATTGGTGGTCCCAGGGAGGAGGAAGATGTGATGTAGGGATATCTTCAAGGTGCTGTTCTAGAACCCTTGATGATCTCCTCATCTTAATTGCCACTGTCACACTTATGAGGCTGTAAGTGCTCTAGCATGTTGCAAGCCCTATGTACAGTGAAGCACAGGGGACCTTGAGAGTGATTCTCAGCTTTACCAGTGATAAAGCTTACTTAAATTCTCTTAGGTTGGTTCTTTATTTTCACAATGAGTATCACTGGAGTTCTGACCTCACAAGATTTGAAGGAATCCTTAAGAGAAACTTTTATCTGGTTGTGTGGCTCAGAGTCAGAGCCCAGTAAACACACACTGTGTTGTGATCCTCTTATCCTAGGCTGGCTCCTATGAGGGAGGAGGTTGCTTAGCCTTTTACCACCACAGGGATAACCCATTACGTGTCCATGCTCATTCTTGTCATTACTTCCCCCTTCGCACTCCCTCTGGTCCCCCAGATGCTCACTTTGTGAGAGCCCCAGTCTTGAGAGGATCTCCCACAATCCCTGCACCCCCAGATGCAGCTCACCCATGTAAGGGGATCACAGGAGCTCATTTTACCTTGACATCAGCTGTCTGTCTGCTCACCCTGGGATGTTACTCTGTCCGCTCCACTCATTTGCCACATTTTTGGGATTGTGCTTCTTTGTTTTGACCTTGAAAATGGGCATGACCTCTACTTAGAGTCAACAGGAAGCAGCCCGAGGACTGGCATTGTAACACCAAGACGTCACCGGGTATTTAATGACAGGGAGCATTTATTTGCTACAACCCTTACATGGAGAATGCTGTTTTGAAAGAATGTTTGATGAGAAACTGGAGGTGTAAATGATAACTAGCTAAGTTGTCCTCTGAGGAGGGAGGATCAGGAAGCTATGCAAGTCTGGGCCCGGGTTGAATTGCTGGAGACACAGAGGGGAGGTTGGGGGTGCTACCAACAGGCCACCGTCACTGCGGTGCATAATGGATGATCGTAGTTGAAGGCCATCTCCTCGGTGGGGCTCGATGATTCTCCTGTCCAACCTTAACCCTGCTCAGAGTGCTGCTGAGGTCTTGTGCCCTTGTCTCCTTTGCCTTTTCTGCTCTGATTCTCTGGACCTTGCATGTAGTATTCCATTCTCCCTTCTATCTCAGCCCATTTTCTGCTGTTTAGAGATATCGGAAGCCTGGACCAGAGCAGCACAGTGTGTAGAGGGGCAGTGGTGAGACAGAGGGGGACTAGGGCCAAATCCTGGCCATCATGAGCATTTAGAAGAGGATGCTGCCATTTAGAATCTCTCACTTAGGCTCTGCCTCTGTGATTTAACTGAGATATTTGGGTTCATCCATAAAATAATATTTGAGCATTCACCTGTATTCCAGGCCCTAGTCTCTGTGCTTTGCGTATTCAGTCACATAACTCTTACACTAACCCCATAGTACATGGTTATTGTCTCCATTGAATCTGTGAGAAAATGAACACCTAAGGGAAGCTGAGTGACTTGTTGTGTGAGGCCACTTGTCACTGGCGAGCAGGGATCCAACTGTCCGTTTTCATTCTTAACCATGGCGTGGTACCACCTCTCCACCTGCCAGGACTGTGTCAGAGCCTGGAAGTGACAACAGGATGTGATCCAGTGATGAAAGGCACTGGCAGTGAGGGGGAGGAGGTCATGCCTCTGGCTTTCCAGGGAGGCTGGGATTATGTGAATGTTGGTGTTGTTATTAGAGTTATTCTGTAGAGCGAGCAGCTTGGGAGTGGAGAGCAGAGGAATGGTTCGAGGGGGAGCTGCAGAGGGCCACAGGGAGGTTGGGGACAGCATGGTGGGGTTTGTGATCTCGTCAGCATCCCTCACACCTCTGCTGTCATTAGACAATGAAAATGCCCATCTAGAGGTGACCAGAAGGGAATAGAAACCATCCAGGTGATGCATGCAGACGGAAGGATGTGTTGGAGCCAAGTGGGGCTACTGCCCTTTTTGCCAATGCATATAGACTGAGCAGACACATTCATGTGAGCCCTGAGTCTTACCATTCTGCAACACCATCACCTCTCATACCCGTTATCCCGACTA